GGGTGAATATGAAACATTCCAGAGAGGGATGAGTGCTTCAGCGACAGGACAGAGAGACCAGGAAGGGACAAGAGGGGAGAGAGTCCCTTCTGTTGATTCAGCTGGGGCATAGAAGGCAGCTCAAGCAGATGATTAGGGAGTTCAGAGTGTGGCCAGAGAGTAGGGCAGAGAGTGAGGTCAAAATTAGCATAGAAGGGGAGCCTGTGGGCAGAGAAGAACACTTGAGCCTCCTCCTCCACAGCCGCCGCCGACACAGAACAGCTAACACACGCACATGAAAAGGGTGTGCTAGGCAGGTGCGCTGCTGAGCACTAACCTTTCTCCCAGCTCTGGCCTACTTCCTCTCTTGCAAGTACACGCTTAATAAATTGTCTCTGGTTCTGCTACTAGCTGTATGTCTTTGTCTGATTTTTGTTGTTGTTGTTCTGGGGACACAAAACTCTGGAAACCCCAGAGGGTGCCAGCTAGAATCAGGTATTCGGCAACAATAATGTTACCAGCACCAAAGAGCAGACTGAATATATTCTACTTAAAGTAATGGAAATGGCAGGGTGTTGGGGTGGAGGTGGAGTGGGGGATGGGGGCCAAGGAAGAGCTTAAAAGATGAGCAGAGCTGCCTGCACTAGAGCCTGGAAATGAGGTGAAGGTTATCGCCACCAAGGCCCTAGTTACTGTGACTCCCTAATGAAAGTATAATACAAGTGTGAATTTGGAAAATCAAAGTGATTACACTCGGGGGAGGAGATTCTTTAAGACCTGGGAATTAATTTAGAGTGGGAGAGAGACAGGAAACTCCCAGGGAAAGCAGATAACTTCGGCTCTCTGACTTCTCAGACATGCTGAGGCTCGGGGCAGAGGGAACACTTGCAAGTAGTGTGATGCAAAAAACGTGCCTTAGGCATCCACACTGGCCTCACAAAGGCCAGACTTGGCCCCAAACCAGGAGTGACTAGAGGTAGCCAGGTGAATGATCCTTGTGTTATTTACACATGCAAATTTAGGGACAGAAGAAAAACCAAAACTAAACATACCAAACACCAAGGGTTAATTATATGTACAATTAAGAGTTTTTTAGTAAGGAACTTTATAATAGGTACTTAAATTACTCCCATAAGCAGCCACATAACATCAAGATAGAAGGCTATGTTGTTACTGCTGTTGTTAAGAACATTACGCATTGCAGAAGCCTGAGAAATGGCCTCTAAAATATATCTGATCATATAACTCCTGGAATTCATGGGTATGACCTTATTCTGGACAAAAAAATGTGCAAGTGTGGGCACATTAAGAATACTGAGATGTGATGTTTATCCTGGATTATTCAAGTGAGTCCTAAATGTCATCGTGCTTGTCCTTATTCAAGGAACATTTGACACCAACAAAGCTAAGGAGGTATAGGGAGAAATCAATACAAAAACCTAGCTGTTCTAGTTAGCTTTAATTTGTCAGCAAACACAGTCTAGAGTCATCTGAAGGAAAAGCTTCAGCTGAGGAAATGCCTAGATCAGATTAGTGGACAAATCTGTGGTGGGTTGTTCTGATTAGTAATTGATGTTGAAGGACCCAGCCCACTATGGGCAGCACCATCCCTAGGCAGGTGGTCTTGGGCTATATAAGAAAACCAGCTAAGCACAAGCCTGCAAGCAAGACAGCAAGCAGCATTCCTCCATATTTAATTCTTCAAGTTCTTGCTCAAATCCCTGCCCTAATTTCTCTCAAGGATAGGTGGTGACTGTGAAGTATAGGCCAAATAAGCCTTATTGTCCTCTAAGTTGCTTTAGTCTCTGTGGTTTATCATGTAACAAAGATGAAACCAGAACTCTAGCCTGAAGAGATCTGAAGATGCTGGCCTTGAAGATGGCTTCTAGCTTATTAAGCCATAAGCCATGGATACCAGCAACCAACAGAAACTGGAAGAGGCAAGGCATGAACATCATCTAAGGCTCCAGAGGGACTTTGGAATGTCTTCTCAAAGTTGGTATCAGACTTCAGGCCTCTTGAACAAATTTCTACTACTACCAGTGGATTGGTAGTAAAGTATCCTAACTTCCCCAAGAAACCAATGGAAGTAGGAATTCTCTCTGAATCCCTACTTTTCAACTAAGATGCCACCAGAAGCAGCCATATAACATCAGAGGAGCTAACGTTTCTCTGGGTTCATTCTTTGTTATAGTATGAGCTGATAAATCCTGCCTTATGGAGTTACTGCCAAGTTCTAAGAGCGAATATATCTTGTGCCAAGTCCTGGAAATATTGTAAGGGATTGTTCTGGGTGTTCCATCCATCCAAGCAAGGCACAGGAATGATGCACAACCAAATCCAGAACTGATACAACAAATATCACAAGGACGCCAAGAATGTTTTAAAGCTCCTGAAGTAAGGCCTGAAGAATAGAGAAATTCAGTTCATGGTGGAAATATTTCTTTAGCCTTCATTGTAGGTGAGACACTTTGCTGGGACTCCAAGGTCTGAAGATGAGCAACTGATGAACTCACTCTGTGGAAGGCTTAGAGTCAAGGCTAGCTTGAGTCAAAGTACATTGTTTGTTTGAAAATCCTCAAAATTCCATTGAAAGACCTTAACGTGCATAGATGAGGTGCTGTATTCAATACCTGCCCAGTCCACTCCCTAGCCTCTTCCCACAGCTACACTTTTTGAGGACTTAACACAGTCCTTAATTCATTGCATTGAGTCCGGCTAAAACTGGTTTGACTTTAGCTGACCTAGCTTTTCCCAACTTCTCTATAGGCACTATTTAATCTTGGGCCCAAAACTAGAACAATGTTCTCCTCCTTAGGTTGTCATGTTACTTAAAGTGATCATGGAGTGCTTAAGAATTGTGTTAGGCATAGTAATCCCTCTGAAGGTGCATACATGTTCCAGAACCTGTGACTATGTTGCCTGACGTACAGAGGAACTTTGAGAAGCATTCATTCTAGACCATCTGGATAGGTCCAACTTGACCACAGGAGCCCTTTCAGAATAGAGACTCCTCTCCAACTGAGAGAGAGACTGACAAAGAGAGGAGAAGTGAGAGAAACAGGCTATGACTGGCTTTAAAGATGCGAAGGGCAAGCAGTTGCTGATGCTGGGGAAAGCAAAGGACGGATTCTTTCCTTGAACCTGGAGAAGGAACATTGCATGAACTTTCTAGAACTGTGCCTGCTACCTCCTCCTCTGGCAGCTTCTTGGGCTGATAGTCACTGATCCTGTCAGAGCCCCCTCTGCCTCAGCTGAAATAAATGAGAGCAATACTTTGCCATGGATGGGAAGAGGGCGCCATCACATCTGGCATCCATCATCCCTTGCTCCTCATGCGTAGGCAGGTCAGTTGGAGGTCCCTTCTGCTTCTGCAAAAATAGCTAAAGCAGTGAGCGACTACCAGGTCACATCTCCCCTCAGCTCAAAACCTTCCAGAGGCTCCCCAGTTCACTCCCAGAACAGCCTGAAAGACTTCCTGTGTTCCCAAGTCTCTAGGGCACATCTGACCCCATTTCCCCTCTGACTGTCACCTTCCTCTCTGACCCTCGCTGACTGTGCTCCAAGCCCACTGGCTGCCTTGTTGTTCTAGGCACACCGGAGTTCCAGCCTCGGGACACTTGCACGTGGTGTGTTCTCTGCCTAGAACCCTCTGCCTCCCACCTACCAGCCTGCTCCCTCAGCGCCTTCAGATCTCTTCAACGTGGCCTTCTTCCTGACAATCCTGTTGAAACAGCAGTGTGCCCCCCCTCCATCCAACCAAAAGCACCACAGCAATTTCCTCTTCTATCATGAAACGTATTTTTTTTTTTCACACAGGGTGGTCTCTTTGGAAATGTAAGCTTCATATGGGTTCTCCATGAAGGATATAATAGGTGTTTGATAAGTATCTGTTGAGTGAGCAAATCAGTGTACAATCAAACTCTAATCAAGAACTCAATCTCAGTGTTGACTCTCATTAGTGACCCCTCCATTCAGTTACAAACAGGAAATGAAAGACAGTAATCTGTCTGTGGTTGAACAGAGAAGCTGCAGCTACGATCAGACTCTTAACTGGCCTTGCTGAGCCCAGACCAGCCAAAGGAGTAGAAATGCAAAGGCTCTCAGCCCCCAGCCCTGTCTCCTGGACAGAGAATCCAGAAAGGCTGGGTCTTCTGAAGCCTTGGCCTTTCTTGTTTCAGCCAGCCTCTAAAAAGCGTAAGAACAATTTGTCTCAGGACTTCAGTACTTCCGCTTCCAGGCTCAGGAAAGAGCAGGAAGTGCAGGGGCGTGTGAAAATTGAGAGAAAAGAAGAATTAAAGCCACTACATATCAAGAGCTCAGAGACTTCCTCTGCCTGCCACAGCACACGCTGTGCTTTCACAGCGAGGCTGGGGACACCATTCTCAGGCAGGAGAAAACCAGAATGTGACTGCTGGTTCTCTGATATCCAACACAGACTTATTCAGGGACAGCTGAGGGTGTGGCAGAAGACAAGCCTGGTCCCGGCCAGGGTGAATTTACCCTTCATAGGAGTCGAACATTTCAAGGGTCAACCTAGCTCGTCTCCCACCTACTCAGTGAGTGTTTGTTCTGAGCAGGCTGAGTTTCCAGCATGCCCCCAGGAGGTATCTTAGATTATAAGGAATTGCACATCGAGTCTAGATAAGCTATAGAGTCAGGCCAACCAATGCTCCAGTCTTGACGCTGCTGCTAACCACAATTAGCAGCCAAATGCCAGCTCCCTACAGGAAGGGCTGTGTTTATCTCATTTCCCATTGTATCCACAGCATTGCCCACACAATGCCCAATATGCTCAATAATCCTTGCCTAGAAGAAAATCAATTTTAGGAGCATTAGTTTCTTCATTAGTAAAAGAAAGATATAAAGCCCACCTCATGAAGCTGTCTGGGGATATCGAGTGCCTCACCTATACAGGGCCTGCTGTTATGTCAGCATTTGCTTAAGGTAAACTGTCATTTTGGTGGTAGCATTCTAAAGGGAAAAGGTGTGGTTAGCTCTGGGTGAGCTGTAGAGCTCACCTGGAATTTTAGACTTTGCCCCGACCCGAAGAGTTGAGTCTCAGAGTGATCCCGTCCTCTGGAAAAGTCCGGTTCCACTTCTGCCAGAAACCCTGGAAAGGGGAAGAGTGCACTCCACATCCCAGCTGCTCCGGCGGTGGGCAGCAGAAGCGAAACAACGTGACTCAGCACCGCCAGGTCTCACTCCGTCACGGGGAGGGGGAGGGGAGAGCACTCCGAGTCTTCAAACCTGTAAGTGCATGGTGAAAACCCGGGGCAGACAGCTGGGCCAGTTTCCTAGTCTTTTCTCTGCTAGGTTCTCACAGCTGGAGGGAGTGTGGGGTGCCTTTTCCTTAAATGCAAGTCATCCTGTGCCCCTACCCGCCCCCCATCCCACCCACCCCGCGCCCCGGCCCCGTGATTCAGCAGCCCCGTTCAGCAGTAGGCCTAAGGAGCCACCTGTCAATGTTCAGAGATTAAAAATACAACCTTCCTAGAATCCCCCAACCCCCAGGAATCCTTAACACTTTCACTTTGGGAGTTCAGCTCACAGCCTAATGGGTTAAGAGGTTTGGCCCTCCGATTCAAGCCAAGCCGTTCTTTCTGCCTTTACTAATATTTCTCACAGTCATAATTCAATACGGGAGATCTCTTCCAGAAAGTTGAGGCACAGAGCCTCAAACTTAATCCCGACGATGTTGATCTAACAATGAGCAACCTTATTGTCAATCACCGTTTCAGAAGAGTCTGCCCATACCATGGGTTTGCCCTGAGCCACTGTGGTGGAAAAGGGGGGCTGTCCTCTCAAAGAAACAGAGAGTGCAATGACTCAAATGGTCTCCAGTCATCCCCACTGTTACTAGACTTAATCATTCATGCTGCCTTTTGACTTATTTTTAGACACCTAACTTTAACCGCTCTGATGAACAGCAGCCATTTGGTTAGTTCCTTTGATTTTTTTTCCCCCTCCTGTGTGGTAGAGGAGACTCGTGAGTGCCACTTCTCTAAATAACCAATAAATCTTCATAGTCTTCATATGAAGCCATTACAGCTATCCAGGGGGGGGAGAGAACACATCAGCAAGCTCTGGGGACCGAAGACGTCAAGATGTCGTCTCCCAAGCTGCATTGCTCACCATTCACAAATTCTTTCCCTGGGGGGCAAACTGTGTATGGTCACTGTGTCAGCACTGTGTGGGGTGGTGTTAGGAGTAGAGAGGTGAAAGAGACAGGCGGGCTTTCTGGAAGTCAGCGTGCCCACTGTCTCAAACTAGAAACCTGCCAATCAGAGAAGTGAGGGAGCAGTGATCAGCACGTCCAACGTCTCAAACTAGAAACCTGCCAATCAGAGACGTGATAGAGCCGTGGGCCAGGTACTCAGCTTCAGCTTTGCTTTGATAAAGAGGAAAATTACTTAATCGTACAGGGTGACCCTGCTGTCTTCAAAGGAGCACAATCACTCCCATCTTCCTGAAGTTACTTCTAGAACTAAAACTTTGGTTTTTAAAATATCTCCTAGTAAGGGTGCCAGTCAGCTACGATCTTGAGTCAGTGGTGCTGCAACCTGACTTCAGAAAGGAGAATGTGTACACTTCAACAGCCTAGCTGTAGGCAAGGTGACTCCCCCAGCCACTTCCCCCTTCCTAGGTGTGAATTGAGAAACCCAGAGGTGACCACAGGCCTGGGCAACTGTGTTCAAAAATGGGAACTGTCGCTTGACAGGCCCTCCCCTGTGCTTAGCCAGAATCATCAGCCTATAGATTCAGGAACTAAGTGGCTTGAGCATTTTGCACGTTAGCCGTATACATCGGACTAAAGGAGACAAGTGAGCAACAATTCAGTTTAGAGTTCACCGAATCCTCCGGTTTGAGAAGGAAATTGCCAGTAATCAATTGCAGCAAGCATGCCGGCTCGGGGCCAGGAAGAGAAAAATCACTTTAATGGGCAAAGCAGATGTTGCTAAATTCATTGCAAAAGCGAGATGGGCACAGAGCCAGGCCTTGCATGAGAGATGCTGATCTTTTCTCCTCAATGAACAAAACAGAGACACTTCAAACAGGGGCTGAAGGGTTCCATAAGGAAGCCAGAGGTCTGGGGCCCCGTTAGGCTGAACAAAAGAAATGCAGCCAGGTGTTCAGATCTCCTTTATCACCACAGGACTTAAAGCTGTTAACATGTCGTGAGGATTTTAAACAAGTCAAGAATACTGGCTTAAAACTCTCTGGGAAGTCCTATTCTATCCTAAAGGGCTATTTGGTGGAGTGGCTACGAGACAGGTTTTCTCTACCAGTGTGTTGGTTCCTTCATCAGGGTGTTGTATAATTTGGCTAAAGCAATGAACCTACAGTATCGTTGTTCTTATCTATGAAACGGGCTCAGCCTAGTTACTCTAACAGAGCAGTAGTGGAGGTTAGCAAGCCTGTGTGTGAGCACAGTTGACAGATGCCCCTAAGCAGTAATACACGGAAGGAATAGTAAGACTAGAGGAAATGCTTAGTGACCGAGAGGGAAGAGTAAACAGGGGGATTGGGGTTCAGTATTTGCTAATTTCACCAGTGTCTCCCAGTGAAGGTTATACCCAGGCCAGATGTTTCTTTGTATGTTTAAGTTCTTCAAATTACTCTTAGGTTTATAATAATCAGAGAGCACAGTGTCATCATCCATGGAAGATCTGTGTCTGCTTAGAATGTCTTCATACGTCTTCTAGTGGAGCCTCTGTAGAAAGAGAGCTGATTCTCGCTCCCCAAGTCTGAAATGTTCTTTATGTAATTCTCACTCCTTTGCACCCCAACCAGAGTAGCTTCCCCAAGAGTCACCCCATATTCTGTTAGGCCATCTCTTCCTACTCACACTCAACCTGGGTTACTCTCAGCTTCCTTAAATGGCTCCTGGAACCAGACATCTAATATTAAGCATATTCATTACAAACTAAATCCTACATGCCCACTGCTTTGAACTACAATTGTAAATTATCATACATTAATGTGATACGGTGTGGGTCTCCTCCAAACATTTTGTAACATGCTAAAGTTCAAACACTGATCTTGAGCTCGCTTAACTCTCCAAACCAGATGCTGAGAAAGGAGAAGGCTTTGTTTTGTGGCTAGGTCATATCACTGGGAGGCAAGGCCCTTGCCCTTCCTAAGCCTTAGTAGCACCTTCCTCCTAGGGCTTGTGTGAGGATTTCATAAGCTCAATCTTAGGAAGGACTGAACCTCATTATACTGGTTGAGTAGTTACAGTCAGTCTCCCAGGAGCTTCTTCACAAGGCAGTCATGTGGGAAAGAGGGGCTAAGCCATGCCCAATACAAAGAACCCAAAATTGCATTCCCCTTCCCTGAGATTTCCAAACCTCAGGCTTTTTCCACCAGTGGCCACCCTCCAGGAAGCTCTGTCCCACTAAAAGCATGTTTCCAAGTTGCCATAAGCGTTAGAATGTTCCCGATAAGCAAGCAAAGCTGCAGAGGCGCTTTGGCAGTGGATTTCTGGGAGCTGGTCAGAGGAGGATGTTTACCAGAGCACAGAGGCCAGGTCCTCAGCACAGAATATTTTGGCCTAGATAGATCCTGGAGAAGGCTTTTTTTTTTTTTTTTTGCCAAGTACAGACTCTGTTCTCAGGTCCTGAAGTCAGCATTAGAAACTAAACAAACCTTCCAGAGTTCACATTTGTTTACTTGTGACCAAATGCAACTTCCTGTTTGAAAGGAAAGGGGCAGTAAGGCCTTCTATAGCCTTCTCGAACATAATGTCTCTCCTAAAAACAATTGATTTGCTAAGCATAAGTGAATCAAACGCACACAATGGTGATCTCCCTTCTCCTCAAAAATGTTTGTGTTTTAATAGGGAAAGTGCTCAACAAAACCAAAACAAATATTTTTTCAACTGTTGGCCTGCAAGGATTGTTAAGGCCATTTCTTCTCCTGAGAACAAGAAAAACAGACGTCAGGAGGGAGCCAAGCGACATGTACTGTGTCAGAAAAGTCACTTTGACACACTTGGGGGCTGAGATCTCAGTTACACGGAAAGTTTGTTCCCACAGCCACTCAAACCGCATTCCTAGCATGGACAACCAGCTCTTTCATTCTATGACAGTGTCCCATGTCACGTCCTTCAAGGTCCAGAAATCCCCTTGGATAGTACCAGTGTTTGAAAACTGACTGACAGCCCCTAGAACAAAGCCTCCGTACTCTTTTGACAAGATTTGAGATAATGTATTCTGTAATGGGTGTGGGAGATGGGGAACTTCGGTAATTAATTTCTAGAGGATCTCAAAGTTAACGAAGAATCAGAATTAAACTCGGATTCATTTATAATGAAGCTCATCCCCACAAATCTTGAATCCTTTTGTTCTAAAACATTAAATTTGTAGAGGACCTTACACACCATCTGGTCAACCTCTCCCTGCTCACCCACCCATAAACCACAGCTAAAGTAAATGAGCAATAAGGAGGTCTTCAGAGCCTAGATGTAAATCTATTTGTTCTGAAGGCAAGAACTAGTCTGCTTATCCCCGCTTCTTGGATATAATACTATGAACACAGTAAGGACTCTAGGACATGAATGAACAAACTAAAGAGCTGTAAAGTCAAGGTCAATACACAGGTTTCCTCTCAGGTCCCTGTGCTTCCAGGTCTACCCTGGGAGACCCTCCAAACTGCAAGTTTCCTGAAAGCTAAAGAAGTCATGTATGGTTCTTGCGGTGATTTGAATGAGAATGGCCCCTTAGGTTCATATATTTGAATATTTATTTGGTTCTCAGTTGGTGGACTGTTTAGGAAGGTTTAAGAGGTGTGGCCTTGTTGAAGAAGGTGTGTCATGGAGGATGAGCTTTAAGGTTTCAAAAGCCCAC